ATAAAATAAAATAAAATAAAATAAAATAAAATAAAATAAAATAAAATAAAATAAAATAAAATAAAATAAAATAAAATAAAATAAAATAAAATAAAGTTGGGTGGTTTTTTTTGCTACTCATCCTTCAAGGATCTTTCAAACACTCTCTGAGCCACAGTTGTTTTGGGGATACATTCCAGGCAAACCTGGATCGGTCAGTCCCTGGTGGGTCTTGTCTGTGAGTTTTCAGCCCAGGTTCAGCCTCCGGGTGTCAATGCCTCCAGGAGGACAGGGACAGAAGCTGGACAAAACGCGTCTCACCCTGCCCAGAGGGACAGAAAACACAGCAGCAGGAGCTCCGGGGGTCTCACTGGTGTCAGAGAGCTGGGCTGCTTCACACATCGAGGTGCTCGTGGCTCTGAAAGTGTTCCCTCTTTCCATTTAAACCCAAACTCTCTCATCATCACAACCCGCTCGCTTTTCTCCCCCGAACGCGTTTCCCCGGCTCGAGTGAGACCCCAGCAGCTTTCCGCCGGTAATTGCGGGTTGTGCTCAGAGAATGTGCGAATCGGTGGTTATTGCCGCGGAGCTGGGGACAAATAATCCCATTTTCTGCTCCAATGGGCGGCTCTGACTCTGCTCCCGCAGTCCGGAACGGCATTTCGTGGGGTTTGTTCTTTTATAACCTCGTGTTYCCTCCCGTGCCGTGTTATTGCAGCAGGGCCAAGGCTGTTTTCTCTTCAGCAGAGCTCTCCATCCTCTTTAACACAAAACTTCACATCATCCTTTGGTCCTCCAGGGAAAGGAAACATCATTTACAGTGGTGTGTGAGCTTCACTAAGTTACCATTACCCACCTCATACATCCACCTTTAGATTCTTATTAAATTTGTTTTATATTTAAGGTATAGTCACCATCCTCAAAATCCAGAAGGATGCTCTCATGTAAAACTGAGCAAGCAAGAGCAAACATTCACAGCAAGAGCAAAGTAAACTGCGCAGCAAATCTCTCCTTTGGTGCTGTCAGTGGGGTGTCACTGCTCCAGGACATTGTCCTAGACTAGAAAGAGTCCAGGGTCTGCCAGGGGACCAGCAACAGCCCTGCCACAGCAGCTCAGAGCTCAGCAAATCCTCCCTGAGCTGCCTCAGTGCCTGCAGAGGGACGGGAGATTCCCTTCAGCCACCCACCCTGGACCAAATGTGATGTAAAGCTTTGAAATTCTGAATTTGAAATTGTGAAACTGGGAGAAATGCTGACTTCGTGACAGCAAATTTGTGATTTGTGACCAAAGCCCTGATAAACCAGAATTAGCTGGGATTGCAGAGGGGCAGAGCAGAGCCACARCTCCTGTGACAGCCCAGGGAACTGAAATAACACCCAGGAGTGGGAGAGATGAGAGTGAACACACCATCTCCWCTGCTGCTGACCACGGGAGCAAAATGTGTCATGAAAACAGAAGCAGTGAGCTGTTCCTGGCACAGAACGGRGCCCTGGTCTCGGTCCCAGGGACTGGGGGTGGGAGCAGAAGTAGAATTGCAAAAAGATGAGTCAAAATATTGTCTCCTGAAGTTACTCAGTTCCTCATTTAGAAAAGACCTAGTCTGGCCCTAAACAGACGTCTGGGTGGTATCATTGACTCTGCATGCCGAGTTTCCCCAAATCTGGAGGTGACACCCTGTGTGACCCCAATTCTGCCCTCTCCACTCGCCAAGCAGAGCTCTGTGTGTATGGGTGGGGGTGAATCCATCCCCACCTCACTTTGCAATCAACACCCCTGATCTCACTTGCACTCTTTTGACCTCAGACCGAGTTTCATGCATCTCTTTTCCTTTCTTAGACCATTAATACTCTTAAAAGGAGAAGCAGATGGCGCCCATTTGCAGATGTCAAACGCTTGCCTCACGTGGCACGTTTACTATTGGATTTTCACCAGAGGCTCGTGGCCCAGATAGAGATATTTTAGTCACAATCACCAGCTTGAAACGTGAGGCAAACATTCACTGACTGGCTCAGGCCACAGTTACACCTCTCACTGCTTCTGATTCATTTTTWAATCGTTTGTAGATGGGAGTACAGGAAAGGGATTAAACGATTGGGGTGCGGGAAGATGAGTATTAGAAGTGGCTGTTAAGGAAGAGATGGGAAAAGGATAAAAATGCTGCACCCCTGGGAGGGACAGGGCGATCAATCTGAGAGCAGAGAATCCAAATTTCTCATGAAGCTGACTTGGGAGCAATGCTGGGGGTGCTTGTGATGAATATTCTGATTTACACTCTGCTGTCCTTCCATGCAAACCATCCCAAGGTGTGACCCTTGGTGCCACAGAACAAAGCAGATGTGAAGCTGTGAGGTTTACCTCTGAATCCCCGGCATTAAGGCTCTCGGGGCTGTTCTTTCTTTGTTTCCTTTCCTGTTTTTGAGGGCAGGTTTCTGAGCACGGGGAATTAGTTGTTCCCTCCGGGAGAGCCGGGCTCGGCTGTGTAGGGAGAATCCACCGGGACTTGCCGAGCCCCTGATAGTTCTGTGGCACTTTTACAACCCTGCAACCTCCAGAGAAAGTGCTCTATAAGGGATAAATCAGCCTCTTCCCTCTTGGATCCCCTAAATCCCAAATAACACACGGGGACCCCCCAAATCCCAAATGAAAACCCCAAAA